ATTAGACACATCCCTAACAAAGATAGGTCAAGCGCACCACAATAAAAACAGACCATTCCTTTTAGTTTTACATAAAAGACTTATCAGAAACCTTGCTAGACTTCAACCACCAATGACAGTACTTGATTATAACCACTTATTAAGCACTAAAGCACAAAAATTAAATTAAAAATTACTAATTAAAAACATGAAAATTACTAGTTAAACACTAAAGCATAAAAAAATAAAAAGATCGAAAGCTGCAAAACCACCAAATCAAAACAGGTTTACCAAATCAAAAGATCGCAAGCACTCACCCACGCTGGTGTCAAGACAGGTTTACAAGCTGGGAGTTGTTGCTGCTTGAAAAGATCGAATGCTACAAAACCACCAAATGAAAAATTTTAATATCAGATGCACCTAGGCATACGGTACCCATCTGTGCAATGTAATGGGACATATGTGATAGCTAACTGATGAATGCTGATGCTCAAACTGAAGTACAGAAATTAAAGAAAAAAAAAAGAAGCGAAAATGAAAGATAGAAGATGACATACAGACAAATAAACAAACAAAAGCTGAAGCTGGAGCTGGAGCTGGAGGTGAGCGGTGTGAGCAGTGGTGAGCGGCACGGCAGAGGAGAAGAGACTGACTGGAGTAGGGTGGGATAGCAATTTGCAAGAAGCGGCAATTGGATTTCCTTCTACATCTAGGGTTAGCCGGTTATGTATATTGGATTTCCTTCTGCATCTAGGGTTAGCCGGTTATGTATATTGGATTTCCTTCTACTTGTAGGGTTCTGTAATTGGGCTCTAAATTGGACTGTAAATTGGGCTATAAATTGGGCTGGGTAATTAGGTTTAAGAATATTAGATTAACAAAAAAAAAATTGGGTTGGGCCGACAATTGGGTTTGAAAAAATTGAAAAAAGAGTGGATTGTAAAATTTAAGTTATGTTGGTATTGGGTTAACTAATTAAATTGGGTAAATTCCAATAAAAAAATTAAATTGGGTAAATAAAAATTAATTATTAACATATGTACAAAATATATATGTAAATAAATTTTTTTTTTTACAGATCCCCGCGAGGTGGAAGAAATTCCCCGCGAAATTTCACGGGTAAAAAATTGCCTCCATCCCGACCCCATGAATAAGAATATTCTTGGAATCTCCATCCCCGTGGTGGGGATCTCCACGGAACTCCGCAGGTCGCGGAGAAAATTACCATCCCTACACCGTAGGACCTCTTGGCCATCCTGATTGAATAATAGACCTTTTCATTGTAAAAAAAAGGGACAAATAAAATAAATTATTAAGTATAAGGACCATTCTATAAATAATAAAAAATGACAAACGGACGCGTTGTCCAGTCAGTCAACGCATAGTCTTCTGTCTCTTTCCGGTTTTCCCACATTTTATACCCTCCATCCTCACACAGACTCAACCAAGCAGCTGAATCTGCTTCTCTTACCAGAAATCTCCAACTTCAAGATGCCAGCCATTTTATTTCCAAGTCTTCTTATCGCTTACTTCCTTGCAAATTTTGCATTCGTCGCAGCCGCATTACCTGCCGATGAATGTATATATAGACATTAACTTGTTTTATATAAGCACAGTTATTTAGTTTCGTGATCTCTTCTTCTTCTTGTTTCTTTTCTGAGAGATTATACTGTGACTCGCAGTGGAAGCCTTGCGAGACATAGCGAAGACGTTGGGAAAGAAAAACTGGAATTTCAGTGTAGATCCCTGCAGTGGAAAGTTGGACTGGGTTTCAGACCCAATCGACCTATTTGAAAATAATGTCACCTGTTCCAATGACGCAACCCCTCATGTCGTTAGCATGTAAGCTCTCCTCTATCTCTCTTTTAATCCACAATTATAGAGTTTTTTTAATCTGCTCAACAATTCTAGTTTTTTTTTTATTTATTTATTTTTTATTTTTATTATAAGTTCATGCCTACAAGCCACTTGAAAATGTTGTTTTTCAAATTGAGGAGATTGAGAAAATCATTAAAATTACCAGAAAATGAATTAATTTTCATTACTAATGTAAAAAGGCAAAACTACACATAAAATGGAACAGAGAATAATTATTGAGTTCTTTTATTAGGGACAAGGATAATTACTTTCTTTTTTATTATTTTGAGCTACAACTCCGACAATGCGTGACCGTGTGTCATTCAACTTATTTCAACATCTCTGTATCGCCTTACACAGTACCCCATATTGAAAAAGATAATTTCACTTTATATTTTTTATTTTTTTAATAATT